TTGTCAATTGAGCGTGTTGATGCCTTATTTGCGGGAAACAGCAACGTCGCATTTCACACGCTTCGATGTTTAATACCATATCCTCCTGTACTTTACCTTAATTTCAAACAAACCACCGGATATCTTTTCTTCTTACGTCTTTCTCCAGAGTACTGTGCACTATTCTTGAAAAAGTGTCACATTAGGAAAAGATTAATTTAATTCGCCCAGTTACTTGATGCGCAACGTATAGGGTTGTTCGTCATTCAGAGCATCGGTCAACATGGCATCTAATTCCAATTCCTCCCCTACGATGCTGACGAAGGTATGTTGCGGCCTATTACCCTTGAACTGAGAGGCTCGTCCAATGGAGTAATAATACTGACACGCATATAAGTTCGAGTCGAAATCTTCCAGAGCAAAGGGCATTGCTTTCCATCCTAAACGGTTCGTTCACAAATTCAATGCGCAACACCCATACCTAACTATCTTCATAGACCATGGATTCTAGTTTCTTTACATTCTTCGACCATTCAGCTATGGGATTATCGCATGGGAACATTGATTGATAGATTTGAGGAGCACGATGGGCCAGTTCGAGGAATTGACTTCCACAAGACACAACCCCTCTTTGTCTCCGGTGGTGATGATTACAAAATTAAGGTCTGGTCATTGCAGACTCGCAGATGTCTATTCACCTTGAATGGTCATTTAGATTATGTTCGCACAGTTTTCTTTCATCATGAGCTTCCTTGGATTATTTCCAGTTCCGACGATCAAACTATCAGAATATGGAACTGGCAGAATCGCTCTCTAAGTAAGCTGGGAATGGCTCAACATTGTATTCGCGTACGATACTAATCTTCTTTTCAGTTTGCACAATGACCGGCCACAATCATTACACAATGTGCGCTCAATTCCATCCCAAAGACGATTTGGTAGTTTCTGCATCCCTTGATCAATCGGTTCGAGTTTGGGATATTTCAGGCTTGCGAAAGAAGCACTCGGCGCCAACTTCGATGACTTTCGAAGACCAAATGTCAAGAGGGAACCAAGCCCAAGCAGATATGTTTGGAAATACCGATGCTGTAGTCAAATTCGTACTCGAAGGACACGACAGAGGTGTGAATTGGGTAGCTTTTCATCCAACTTTACCTCTGATCGTTTCTGCTGGTGATGATCGCCTTGTGAAGTTATGGCGCATGAGCGAAACAAAGGCATGGGAAGTCGATACCTGCCGGGGACATTTCCAAAACGCATCTGGATGCTTATTCCACCCTCATCAGGATTTGATCTTGTCAGTTGGCGAAGATAAAACTATTCGGGTTTGGGATCTCAATAAACGTACATCAGTGCAGTCATTCAAGCGAGAGAATGATAGATTTTGGGTCATTGCAGCTCACCCTGAGATAAATCTTTTCGCTGCTGGACACGATAATGGTGTCATGGTATTCAAACTTGAGCGAGAACGCCCTGCATCTGCCTTCTATCAGAACAATCTCTTTTACATCACCAAGGATAAACATGTCAAATCTTATGATTTCCAAAAGAATATTGAAAGTCCAACACTATTGACCTTGAAGAAACTTGGAAGCCCGTGGGTCCCACCTAGATCACTTTCTTACAATCCAGCTGAAAGAGCTGTCTTGGTCACTTCTCCTGCAGATGGTGGTTCATATGAACTCATCAATCTTCCTCGAGATGGAGCTGGTTCAATGGATTCAAATGACACAAAGCGAGGCCAAGGTACTTCTGCTGTTTTTGTAGCACGAAACAGATTTGCCGTTTTCAATGCTACAACTCAACAAATCGATATCAAAGATCTTTCCAACTCCACAACCAAGACCATCAAGCCTCCAAATGGAACCACCGATATTTACTTTGGTGGAACTGGTAATATTTTGTTGATTACCCCCACTGCTGTTCACTTATATGATATCCAGCAAAAGAAAGCAACTGCTGAACTTGCTGTATCGGGTGTCAAATATGTTGTCTGGTCTAACGATGGTTTATATGCAGCTCTCTTGAGCAAGCATAATGTCACGATTGTCACAAAATCTTTAGAACAAGTCAGCACCCTTCACGAAACCATCCGCATCAAGAGTGCAACTTGGGATGATGCAGGCGTTCTTCTTTACTCGACTTTGAACCACATTAAATACACTTTATTGAACGGAGACAATGGTATCGTTCGCACCCTGGATCAAACCGTCTATCTTGTCAGAGTTAAGGCACGTACTATGTACTGTTTGGACCGAAGTGCTAAGCCAAAGATTTTGAATATTGATCCTACTGAGTATCGTTTCAAGCTTGCCCTTGTGAAGCGAAATTATGAGGAGATGTTGCAAATCATCAAGAATTCCAGTCTGGTTGGTCAAAGTATCATCTCTTATTTGCAAAAGAAGGGTTACCCGGAGATTGCCTTACAATTCGTACAAGATCCACAAACTCGATTTGAATTGGCAATCGAGTGTGGTAACTTAGAAGTCGCAGTTGAAATGGCCAAGCAATTGGACCGACCAAAGTTGTGGTCCAGGTTAACAGCGGAGGCCCTAGCTCACGGTAATCACCAGATTGTTGAGATGACATATCAGAAGTTGCGACAGTTTGACAAATTATCGTTCCTGTATCTGGCTACTGGAGACGAAGCAAAACTAACGAGAATGGCCAAAATTGCGGAACATCGTGGCGACTTCACCGCCCGTTTCCAGAACGCTTTATATCTCGGAGATGTTCAAGATAGGATACAGATGTTCAAGGAGATTGATCTTTGTAAGTTCCCATTAAACATGTCGCTCCTCACATACGAAGTGCTAACCTAAATTAGATCCTCTTGCTTACATGACCGCAAAATCGCATGGCCTTACAGAAGAATGCGAGTCAATTCTCGAGGCTACTGGCCTCACTGAAGATCAAATCACATTGCCTACCCTCGGATCGCCACTTACCCCTCCCAAACCTGTCATCCCCACCTTCAAGGCAAATTGGCCAACAAAAGCGACGTCGCAATCTTTCTTCGAGAAAGCCCTTCTTGGTCAAGTTGAGGGTCTGTCTCTAGATGATGAACCTTCCGCTGCTGCAAACGGATTCGGTTTTGACGAAGCTGGAAATGATGAAGCCAAGACTGGTGCTCTCATTGAGGCCGATGATGATGATGAGGATGCTGCAGGATGGGATATGGGCGATGATATCGTTCCAGAGGTTGAGAATGACTTTGTCAATGTTGATAGTGCAGAGGCTGGCGCTGGTAGTAGTGAGGCTGATTTATGGGCTCGCAACTCTCCTATCGCTGCTGATCACGTTGCTGGCGGTTCTTTCGAAACTGCTATGCAATTGCTCAATCGTCAACTTGGCGCCGTCAACTTTGAGCCTTTGAAACCTAGATTCATGGAAATTTACCAAGCATCAAAGACCTACCTCCCTGCATCCGCAAGTCTCTCGCCTCTGGTCAATTATGTTCGACGAAAAGTTGATGAGACAGATCCTCGCAAGGTTCTTCCTATTATTCCACGAGATATCGAATCATTAGCAACCATCGACTTACAAAAAGGGTACGATGCCATGCGACAAAACAAACTTGAAGATGGCGCTACTATATTTAAGGGCATCCTTCATGCTCTGCTTGTGAACGCTGTCTCAACCGCCTCCGAGGTATCGGAGGCAAAGAAACTCATCACGACAGCATCAGAATATAGTATAGCAATGGCTATCGAAATTTCAAGGCGGAAGATTGGAACTGCTGATGAAATTTCAAAATCACCAGAGAAACTCAAGCGCAGTTTGGAATTGTCAGCTTACTTCACTATTCCCAAGTTGGAGGTTGTCCATAGACAATTAGCTTTAACGAGTGCGATGAAATTGGCTTTCACCAGCAAAAACTATAACTCCGCGTTAAGCTTCGCTAACAGGATGTTGGCAAACGGTGGAAGTGCCAAGGTTCTTGAGAATGTAAGCAGCCTAGCCCCCACCACTACTAAATGACATTAACTGACAAAATTTCTAGGCTCGTAAAATTAAGGCTAATTGTGAACGCAACCCCAACGATACCCATGAGATTGAGTTTGATCAATTTGCTGAATTCGATGTCTGTGCTGCCTCACACACACCTATTTACTCTGGCTCTCCATTCGAAGTCTGCGCATTCGATGGTAGCAAATATCAAGCTAAATATAAGGGCACCATCTGTGCAGTATGTGGTGTCTGTGAGGTTGGTAAGAATGGAAGTGGATTGAAACTTGTTGCGTAAGTGCAATAGTGGCATGAATTCAGGGCTGTGTAGGATGATTGAGATATCTTTTGGTTGAGGTGATAAAATCCATATTGGAGTTTGAGGAAAAATTATGCCTTTATATTAGTTGATGAATGTAGAACGTTGTTCTTGACTGCTCAGTCATAAATAAAGATTATGTAGCTGCATTTTTGTTCTAATTTTTAGACGGTGATTATTGATGTTCAGAAATGTGCTTGTCGAGTGGCATAACTCTAACTAGGTAGTGAACACAATCTCAGAGGAAGATAATCATAGAATCGAAATCTTGCGATCCGACGATTGGTCAGGTTATGTTACACATTTTGGAAAATTAATCTAGACCGAGTCCTGCGAAGGAGCAACAATCAAGCTCGCAACAATTGGATCAACCAATCTAGAGTTGAGATTGAGGGTTTGATTGGCAGCACTAGCGATGTGGAGTTTTTATAGCCCATCTGATTCTCATTCCTAATAACAATTTCACTTCGTTGCCTACTCTATTCACATCAGTTCTATGTCACAAACCTTGCAAATGCACTCTATCTTTCATACCTCATATATACTCGAGTATTCATATTCATCATGTCCTCTTCCCTCATCTCTCTTCCTTCTCCCAATTTCACTTTCTCCAATAAATCTATACGACCAATCTAGGTGTCGCTCGGGTCTTTGATCAGACAAAAGCCAGGAAGACCTCGACCTTTAAGATTGCTATACGACCATCCCGCAAGCCCAAGTTGTCAAACAAACTCAATTACTCTAAATCGAAGAATTACTCTCTACTCAACAGAGGCGATCTCTCTCCTGCAGCAGCTTCTTCATCTACTTCCACTTCTATTCCTGCTACGCGTGCACTCATATCCAGTTCAGATTTTCGACTTCTTTTGAGATCGTAGATAGCGAAGGCGAGAGTGGGGTAGAAGAGAAACCTATTTTGGGGGTGAGGGGGGTTAGATTAGTTTTGAAGGGGAGTGTGATCTGTTATTGGGATTCTACGAGATAGAACAAAAGGGATGGAATCAAGAGGTGAGGTGATGTAATAGGGATTAAAGAATAGGTGAACGGATGGGAAAGAAGCCCAGGAGGGGCACATACGGTAAACCAAGAAAACTAATAATCGCCTGTGCAATTCGGGGCGTTCGGGACGGCGGTTGATTGTAGAAGTTGTGGACGGGACCAAAGATGCTATCCTATTATTCCATGAAGTTTAATTAGCTCTATATTTTCACCGCATAGTATAGACGTATACATATCCCTCTGCCTCCTCTCTCCTCTCTCTTTTTCTATTCTCATGGGCTCTCAAAAACGAAACAAGTGAGACTCACGACAAGTAACCAAAGCCACACCGCACTAGCAAAACCACTTTTTGCCATTTCCAACCAGACCATGAATTCTTTACTAATATCCCCACTATTTCCCCCGCGTTGCGTGATGATGATGAACAATATCGAAGCAGAGAAGAAAGCGTTTGAGAGGGCGTTTCTGCGGTTTTCTTAGTTATCACAGAGGAGGACGGTGATTCAATGGGTGATACAATAAGTGAGCATGGACATGATAGAGAAAAGGGAAAACCATAGGGAGCTGAAAAGAGAGCCTCCGAAAACAAGCATATAGTAAATAAATAGGGAGGAAAAGGATTTGCATGGAGAAGAAGTAAAGAGACATACACGAATTCATAAATCGTAAAATTGGCATCGAGCGTTAAACACCAAAATGTGAATACTCCCGCGTGTATCATCACGGGGAAGGCGATGAGGGCTTGGAAGACTCCGATGGTGTGAGCCATGTTTTGGCCGAGGGAGCGGGGTGCAGGATGGGAGGGAGGAGGACGGGGAGGAGAATGGGTGGTGGGGATGGAGTCCATGATGATTGAAGGGCTTTGTATGGAGAGCGTGTAGGTGTATTGACAATCTGTACTGTATTAAAGGAAAGATGTGATAACTCTACACCACCAAAACACAAAATGATATTTCGAAATCGCACGAAAATAATTAGATAATTTTCGTCTACACAAGTATAATATATAATCTATACATCCCCTCAATCTCCCACCCCAATCCCTCATTTTCAATCTCACTTCTCGCCAAGTAAAGGGAGCACAATGTAAGATCACATACAAAAGAACAGGGGAAACGAAATAGCCGATAATATGGTAAAACATGCGAGACATGGTAGCCTGATGCTCGGTTAAGATGATTGGTGCTTATGAAGGAGCCTGATCGCGGGAGTGTGTGATTGGTTTAGATGGTGAAGCCTAGAATATACGTATAAGATGGATGGACTGGTGAAACGGATTGGGTGTATATTTTCGGGGGATTGTAATTATTGCAATGGGGGGATTTTGGATTTAGGATGAATTGATTGTTAAGTGAGTCGGATGTGTTTGACATAAAAAGTTTCTCGTCAAGCGAATGACATTCATTGTATGCATAGGTAATCTAATTCAACTACTTTTCGTGGTCAGAATATGTAACTAAATACAGGTGTTCCTTTTTCAAGGTTATTTCTCAAAGATTTTATGCCTGTCGGAGTGCGAGGTACTCATCTTGATGCTGGTAGTATTCTCGGCAATACACAACATGCTCTCACCCGACAGCTCATCCACTGCAGAGTTTTAACAATGCGAGTGTCAAGAATATAATATTTCAATTTTTTTATCATTCAAAGATTGTTATGCTCAAAGAGCCTCAACTCCAGCTGCAATCTCTTCAATCTCATCACTACCCCTCTCCACAAATTTATAAACACCCAACTGTCGCTTGTTAAAACACGTGCTAACAAAAATCATGTCTTCATTCGTGATAGTAGGTTGTACTTTTTTCGGTGTACCACTCAGTCGTCTCTTGTTAAAATAAGAACTTAGGAATACCAGACCTCCATCTCTTCTACCAGGCTGAACTGCGCTGGCATAACATAATTGAGATTTGTTGGTTGGATTTGGCCATTTGTGAATTTCGATGTTGATGGATGCGAGGACTCTAACACTCCAGATGTCATCCTTTCGTTCTACTTCCAGGATTTTCGCGCCAACTTCCATGCATGACGCTAGTACCTGGAAGGATAGATCATCGCTGGAATCAGCTCTATATTCGTTTGCGGTTGTTCTGGGATACTCATGAAGGAATTCAAGACGGTATGCTCCACCTCCAACGTCCAGATCTGTTACCACATCGATTGGTGCTTCCTCTGCAAGCTGGTCATAGGTTACTGGGCCGTGAGACCATTCCATGACAATGACTCTGACTTTATTGTCGTAGCTACCAGTCAAGAGAATCCATTTCTTGCCCCCGCATGGTAATGGTAGAATTGAGATTACAGCAGCATCATGCCCCGAGTATGACGTTTGTAAATTCAAATCAACATGGTTATCCTTATTACGGGGATTTCCTAGAATGCAAGTTCGGAGTTTAGAATCGTCGCCTCCTGAAAAGATCCCGTGGAAATTTTCGGAAGATGTGTAAGGATGGCAAGCCCAATAGCAACAATATGCATATTGAGGCTCCTCACCAGAATATGGGATTTTCAAAGAATGCAACGATACTGGTGGTTCTTCCTTCCTCATATGTAAGTCCGAACCGTGTATCTTGCCATAGATAGCTCCAGTAATGTTAAGTATCTGAACGACTCCGGTTGAAGCCGTTACAGCTAAAGATAGGTAGCAATCTGTGGATGTTGAAGGACACCATGCAAAATAGGTGATCAGAACAGACGTGTCGAATACTTTCCATGTATTGACGTGTTCGATATTGGGAGAAGTATCCTCATTAGTCGTTATTTTGAAGAGGGATATTCTACCCGTGCTGGAGGAAACAGCAAAATAATCTTGGTCTGTGGGACAGAAGTGAAGATCATAAATCGCTCCGTATGGGTATGGGCGCGATTGGCAAAGGGTTCTAATCATATCAGAGGTGACAAGAAGGACATAAGCTCATGAATAATGCTTACAAGGAACCACCCTCAAGATGATATAGCATTACACTCCCATTTCTTTTTTGAAGAGTCGACGGAGGTTCTGATTGGCCTTTCGATTCTTCCGAGATAACATCGCTATCTTCGACAAGAACAAGTGGTTCGTGAGAATAATCGACTAAACTCAAAGGAGCTGAAGAGATTATTCCTTCTTTATTGGAAAAAGGGTCTGTATTCACCACAACTTCACTCGAAGCCTTCTCAACATTTACCCATGAGTCTTCATCTTCCTTATCTAACTCATAAGTACCAATGACGAACCATGAAGGGTTGTTTGGCCAAAATTCTATGCAACTTGGAGGAAGGTCCAAGAGATCAGAATCAAGGAGTTCGATCTTTGAGGCCATTTGTGATTGATTGATGGGTTTTTGGCATGGAGACGTTATTTCTCACAAAAGATTCCCCTAGCAATATAGTAAGTGCAATGAAAAAAAGAGATGTCTGTTCTAAATGTTTCGATTTTTTTCGATGATCTTGTCTCAAGGTTTAAATGTTTCCAAGGAAACCTTGGAACCTTGAGTTATTGTGAATTCAAGCCACATTGCACCGCCACCACATACGATGAAGTCACCGGGCGGGCGAGCCTTGGAAGGGTAAATTGCCTGGGGCAGATCTAGAACAAGAAGTCACAAAGGCCTTGTCAAATGAATTCTCTTATACGCACCAATCTTCATCCCTCCTGTATCCCGCTCGCCCGCCTCAAATATATTGCGAGGAGCGGCGGATCGGAGTAAAACAAGTTCCACCCAATTTTCCGCTTTGTTTCCACTCCGCTTACCACCATATCTCCATATCTACTCCATTCTTTAGGCATAAGATACCCGGAAGAATCTCCTTCGCTTTACATGGTACTTCTTCACCAAACATCTGCAGACATCTACGAATCCCTGTGGTTTGCTACATGTATGCATTCGGGCGTTTGCTTCCCCGTCCCTTTTCCTCGGTCAAGTTTGCTGTTGAAAGGTCTAGAGGATGAATACTTCTCGGTGGAAATGTCATTCCAATATGGAATTCAATATCAATGACTGTCCCCAAACTCCAAAGCATCAGAGCCAAACACCAAGCATCAAACATTAGAATGTTCCACAAGGTCAATATCCCAATTTGACTTTATTCATTTCTGGTTCTCGTCCCAGAAAGCAAGATTTGGATGCCCATCAAAAGACAACATTCATTTTATGGTCCGTGCATAACCTTCCTTGAAGTGAATCCCCTCAATACTTCCAAAGTTGAAATCTGCCTTCGAATTTGTTAATTGATGCATCTCTTTCCATACATATCTTATTAGTACTATTCCTTCTCTCTTCTCAATATTCGTTGATCCAGTGGTCATACAATTAATGCTTTACGTGTACATATCAATACTTCATCTACGTGTTACCCCAACTTCCAACTTCAACTCCACCTCACTTGTCACCCGAAAGTTCGTGTGGAGAAGGCTTACTTCAACAACATCATGGCGAATGGAAAAGAAACCAAAGTATCAGATACTGAGGGTTATCTATCAGATGAATCAGACTTCTATGGTAATTCAACCATGACGCCTCTTTCATCCCACTACTAATCCTCACATCAGGTGATCCCGAGACCAAAGCTTCCTTCGAAGATCGTGCTGCAGACTTCGACGCTACAGCATATTGGAAAAGTCATCGACCAACTTTAACCGAAAAAGCGAATGCCAATGTTGCCCAAGCCCTTGCAAATCCGGAATCCAAAGCGACTTTGTATAATCCGTATGCAGGTCAAGCATGTGCATGGCAACTTGATGAGAGTATTAACGATTTCTTGCGACGATTACCACCGAGAACTACTGAACTTACTCCATCAACTCCGTGGATATTTGTTACCAATCCTTTCCGAAAGGCTCCAAAAGGTATTGCGGTAAACGATGAAGCTCCTCCTGGTGAACATACCGAGTGAGTAATACAGCGTACCAAGACCAAGGGAGTTTGGAGAAGCATATTTTACATACATGCTAATCTTGAACATAGCTGGGCGAGATGTGTAACCGAAGGGAATCGTTTACTTGATGAGCTGATCACTATCCGAAATACCATTGAGAAAGAAAACTCGAAGAAGCCCACAGTTGCACTTGATCGGATGGTTAATAGGGAGAAAGAAATCATTGTCCAGAAAATTCTAGAAACAGCTATTGATTGTGGATGTACGAGTGGAAAGGCATGTATTGTATCTCGCTTATGTTGTTGCACCAGATACTTTAGCTTCTTACCCCTCTGTTTAGTGTCCAAGTAGTTCTCGGATAACCCTCAGTACATATCGGGTAATCACATCCGGACAGGGAAATGCCCCTCGCTCCAGACACTCCCATTTCACCCCTCTACTATCTCCATATTTAAATTCTAATATTAATTCTTCCTCAGTGGATGATTTTCTCTCCTCCCTCCGAAGTAGACGAAATCTGGGCCGCAATCGCCAAGGCCACTTCCACCAATTCTCTCGGTATATCCGCCAAAGTAGCACCCAAAGACGGAACTGGTCTACTCCAAAAATCCCGACTCATATGTATCTATACCGAAGATTTCTCAGACAAAATGGATGTGTATCGAGTCTTGAAAGCCATTCGAGAATTAGGATTGGTTGACAGAACTCTAAAGGGCGCGATTTATTATAAAGCCGGTAAGTTTCCTTCACTCAATTATCCATATTCTATGAAGTCATTAGACGATGGTACAGTAGTGAGACTAAATTAACGATTGAGAAATTAGATGTATACACCTACCTCGAACTCTCCTCCAGCAATCCCTACGATATCAAAGCCTCTCTCTACAATTCTTTTGAATTTTTCAAAAATCCTCCTCTTCCTCCTTCCACAGCCGCGGGACTAAGATCTCGTCCCGTCAAAAAGGAAAATGGGAAGGTGGATTCGTTCTTTCGAAAAATTAAGAAGGAACCAAGTGAATTGGCTTTGCATCAGATTGATTATGAATGAGAAGCCGAGGGTTCTTTGAGAAATCGAAGGCAGAAGGGTGGTTTTCGAGTTAAGTCTGGCTCGAGATTGGGTTCGGGGATGGATCCTTGAGAAGAGGATCTTCATGGATTCTTGAATGCCACTCTACTTGTTACGTTCTTCCTAGTGCTCTCAAGATTTGGAAAATTGATGAGATCAACAAGAATGACAATGACAATGATATTACCCTTACCGTCGACTTTTTCCGGCACGAAATTTACAAAACTAGCTACGGCGGATCAACTCTAGATCAAGAATATCTTCTTCCCGTGTGTCTAGTTCAGATATACATCTATACTCGCAGGATGGCTGCAGGAACTAAGCAATGTATGCGTTTTATCAGAAACACATTGTCGATGAAGTCTATCTAGCAAATGGCAATTTTCTTTTATTCACTTCACGATCAGGGAGGGTAAGGGGGAAATGGGGGAGGGGATAAATATTTCAAGTACAAACAGACAGATATAAATGTCCGAGGAATATAATACAATCTCTGTGTAGATAGATAGATAGCTATTCGCCAATCACCAATTGTTGGCTAGCTGTCTCGAATACAAATTTTCATAACCAGAACAACCCACTGTTTGACTGGTTTACCTTTTTCGTTTGTGTGAGAAAAATAGAATGGAATAAGATAGATCAGATTAGATGTAGAGAGAAGATAGTGAGCTGGGTTTGTGTTGGGGTATATATCTATCATTCTCAGGATATGGGTGATGAGAATGCTATGAAAAGAGCTGCGGCCTTCCGTCTTGAAAGTAGATATCATCCTGAAATCCACCGAGTTCGATGTATGTGGTGGATTTTGACGAATGGAGTTTTGAATTTGGTATTTACAGATAAGTTCTTTGAGTACGGATGGGCAAGGTATTATTAGAGGTTTCTCCTACCCTACTGTATCAACTGCTATCGAAATTCCTTGCGAATAGCGGGCGACCTTTACTTACTCTCATAGTCGGTTACTACCATTTCTTCGTGGTGGTATGCCGTTTCTAGACGACATATCTTCTTCCTCCTTGTCCTCGCCGTCTCTATAACTTGTTTGACTGGCAAGTTGGTCATACATCCATTTCTTTTAATTGACCGGTGTGCTGATGCTTTGGTGGGATGAAATTCAATGCGAGATCCCATTGTATATCCTCAGCATTTCTCCCAATGTCGTCGGGACCCCACATCGCTACCTCTATTTCGTTGCCATTCTTACTTTCAAACCTCCCTTACTGTGCGATACTACTGGACATTCCAAGATTTGACGTTTTACCAAAGACCTTTTCATAACCCCTCACACAAAGACTTCAAACATAATCCTCATCCCCTCACAAAGACCTCAAACATAATCGTCATCCCTTCCCTCCACCATCCCACTCATATCGCCCACCATCTTCAAATGCAACACCAATCTATATGCACAACTCCCATTCAAATAATATCTATTCAACTTCTTACTCCTCACAAATCCCAATCGTTCATATAATCTCATTGCGGCCACATTACCCTCTTCAGTTTCGAGAACTATTTCATCTGCTCCTCTAGCGGCCATCGCATCAATTGCCAGCTTCACCAATTTGGTAGCGATGCCCTGACCGCGAAATGAGGATGAAACGGCGAGCATGGCTATGTATCCGCGGAGAGTGGGTGGGGAGTGCGAGGAATGGGTTTCGAGTTTCGCGATAAGGATACCGTGGAGAGGGGGGGTAGTTGTGGGAGTGAGAGGGAGAGAGGGGTCGAGTGCCTGGGGAATGTTAGTTTTGTTTGGAAGTGAATTGATTGATAGATAGATTGATTGATTGGTGTTTCTTGGGGTGAATAAAAAGAGAGGTATACCATAAAACATAAATCCCCCCATTGGTACAAAAAATATCGATACACATAGATACTATATGGTTCGCTCAAATCTTTAGATATCAGGGCTCGAATTGAGGGTAAATATTGTTTTTCGAGTGAATGCTCATATTGTATATATCGTAGTTCGGCTGGTAAATCTTGATTGCTTGTAGAGATAGGTGCTATGGAGCTGGTTTCTGAAGTCATGTTTGCGGGAACTATCGAATGGGTTGTTTGTGAGATCTCTACTTATTATGTTGTGTGTTCTGGGTATCTTATGAGGTATGTGATGAATCTTGATGGAGGGACAAATGATGATAATAATTGATCCGATAAGTTGGGCTGACTCCTGGATAAACTTCGGTACATATGATTGACTTTTTGTTTCTTTCTTCACATGTAAAATTACCTCATGTACCCAATCTTGATTATTACCCAATCAAAAGATGATATGAAACCGGAAAAAATACAGTTCCGAATAAGACGCTAAGCTGCCAATCCCGAAGCAAGCGCAAACAATCAATTTGGATCAATGCGATGGATTGGCAGGTTCAAGTTAAGAAGGATCTTTGTGAGCAGAAAGTTGCCTTTCTTCATTTTTCGACTTTTAATTCTTCTGATTATGAAGAGATGAGGTGATATTGATTTGCTTCTTCTCATTCTCTCATTCTCTCCCCATAAATTCTCAACTTCGCTCTCTTATCATGTCCCTTGTCCGCCGCCTATTCCTCGGAACTCCGACACCATCCCCCTCCCCCTCTATTCCAACAACCCCCCGTTCTTCCTCCCCTTTTAAAGGCGAAGAAGTGCGTCTCGCGCCCGTCGTTCGGGTTCTCACGCATAAAGAACGGAAACATAGAAGACGACGCAATACATTTATATTTTTCCTCGGTGGACTTTTTGGGTTGGTGATAGCGGGGTTTTTCGCGGGCAAGAATGATTTACTCGAGTTACCGGAAATGCTGGAGGGGATTACCATGGATAGTCTGATGGATGTGCTGCCTGCGGGATTTGTGAAGGATGCAAGGGATCTGGCTGTAGGTGCTGGCCTTTCTGTATTGTATCCCTCTTTCGGTTTTGGGGGAAAGTTGCGTATAGGAATGTTTTGAGCTGGATGTGAGGCTAACGAAATCTTGTTTGTAGAAGGGAGAACGGGAAGCTGTGAATTATGATTCGTTTTCTGTGGGGTTACATCTCAAGTCGCAGGGAATTCTTGCGCATCATCCAGTTATCATGATTCCAGGTGTTATCTCGACGGGGTTAGAATCTTGGGGTACGACCAATGCTTCACGACCCTATTTTCGCAAAAGATTGTGGGGGAGTTGGAGTATGATGAGGGCTTTGGTTGCAGATAAGGAAGGATGGAAGAGACATATCATGTTAGACAAACGTACTGGACTGGATCCCCCGGGAATCAAATTGAGAGCTGCGCAAGGATTCGACGCTGCCGATTTTTTCATCACAGGATATTGGATTTGGAGTAAGATACTGGAGAACTTGGCGACGATTGGTTACGATCCTACAAATAGTTACACGGCGGCTTATGACTGGAGATTGTCGTATGCAAACTTGGAGGTTAGAGATCAATACTTCACAAGATTGAAGACGCACATCGAATTGGCGAGTAAGATTTCAAACAAAAAGGTGGTCTTGGTTTCGCATTCTATGGGTGGTCAAGTGCTGTTCTATTTCATGCATTGGGTAGCATCTTCGAGTGGCGGAAATGGTGGAGATGATTGGGTTGATAAATATGTTGATTCTTGGATCAACATTAGTGGATGCATGCTTGGAGCTCTCAAAGGATTGCCTGCTGTGCTATCAGGAGAGATGAAAGATACCGCGCAACTCAATGCATTTGCAGTTTATGGCCTCGAGAAATTCCTCAATAAAGAAGAACGAGCCGAGCTCTTCCGAGCCATGCCAGGAATCTCTTCCATGCTCCCAATTGGAGGCGATGCCGTTTGGGGTAACGCAACCTGGGCACCAGATGATACTCCAGGGCAGGAAGTCAGCTATGGACAATTTCTGAATTTCAAAAACCAAAATACATCAACTGGGTATCGAAATCTTACGGTATCGCAATCACTAGACTATCTATTCAATACAACAGAAGATTGGTATCGTGAAGCGGTTAAGGGTAGCTATTCGCATGGTGTAGCTCATACTACAGCTGAAGTGGAAGCAAATGAAAATGATCCCAAGAAATGGATTAATCCACTTGAAACGAGATTACCTCTTGCGCCAAATCTGAAGATTTATTGTTTCTATGGTATGTTGTTCTCTCTCCAAAACTTCTCCTTTCCCGGTGCTAACATTCAAAAGGTATCGGTAAACCAACCGAACGTGCTTATTTCTATCGCCACTCGGATAATCCCCTTTCGTCCCTCAATATCACAATCGATACTGGTCTATCCCAAGCTAACATAGACCACGGCGTGATTCTTGGCGAAGGTGATGGAACCGTCAATTTACTCAGTGTCGGTTACATGTGTAATCGTGGCTGGAAATATCATCGCTATAATCCAGCAGGTGCAAAAGTTAAGACCTACGAAATGCCTCACGAACCAGATCGCTTTAGTCCTCGTGGAGGTCCAAATACCGGAGATCATGTGGATATTCTGGGGAGACAGAGTTTAAATGATTTGATTTTGAGAGTAGCAGCAGGTAGGGGCGAGGAAATTGAGGAAATGGTTGTCAGTAGAATTGCGGAGTATGCGGCGAATGTAGAGATTGGGGAAGAGGAGGAGTACAAAGTTAAAGGGGAAGAAGATGATGATGGAAAAGAGGGGGAGAAGAGGAGAGGGAGAGTCAGAGACAAAGTTGAAGAGAAAGCGGAAGAGGTGTTCGAGACATTGGAGAGGGTTTTGGCGGGGAAGGATGGGGATAAGAAGGAAAACAAGGATGAACTTTGATAGAAGGGGTACTTTTGTTCATCTTCTTTTGGGACTGGGTCGGGCTTGGGGAAGGGCGGTGATTTGACCATTGTATATACGACTGGTACAACATGTGATATCATACGAAACGACTTAGAATATAGAGTCGATTAGGGAAGGGTCGGAGTTAGAATCGGGATTCAGGCGTTTTAGACGGTAGAAGGACGAAAGAATTCGTGTTATACATAGCCGTATACCTCATGCTTGAACAGAAAGGTATTGTCTTCATCGCAATTCTTTTAATGCGCGTCAATTATGAGATTAGTAAGGAAGCCAGAGCGGATCAAGATTGTAGTAACGGTATACTTGTATTAACAACCGATTGTTTAGCGAGAAGGGAGAGTTTTCCTCCTCCTTTGGTTGGTGGGAATTATCAACCATGGGTGTATTTCATTATTGTCATTCAGTTCTGTTATTCTACTTTTGATCGTTGATCTTCGGGACTTGAACGATCGCGGTTTTCTAATTTAGCTCGATAGTTCGATAGTTCGATATCTCGAATTTGTAAGGAGAGGGAAGGTGTATTGAATCCATCGAGATTGCTCAGATTTCTACACGTCTCCAGCTCTGGATTTCTGCATACCTACCTAGTACCTAGTTGTACCGCAAGTTGTATCTAGTAGTATACCTTACTTCTTCTAGTTAAATCCTCTTTTTTCTCTTTGCATTTTCCATGGGATCGATCTTGTGACTCAGCTTCATCGCGGTTTCCCAATGCAGTTTAGACAGATTGAGGAGGAGAAGATAGAGGGAGATAGTGATGTACTTGCCATTTTTTTATTACGTGAAGTAAGAACGATTGGGTTTGTTTATTGATTCAATTCCTCATATTTAAATCTGAGAAGATCTTGCTTTTTGTTTCTGTTTTCTTTCTCTTCATCATCATTTCATTCTCATATTACTACTTATCCATAAGTTATAATTTTACAAAAACAACAACATTCGTTTTCTCTATACAATTCTTGCTTCTGGCTTGTTACTAGGGTAGTGCTGTTTTCATCACATTCGTTTTGGGGATATAGATATTTTCTTATTTTTTATATCGATGCTTCATACGTTGAGAGTTTGTCATTCGCTGATTACCTATATCTTCAGTGCTTCTCATTTTATTTTGAGTCGTCAATTGAGTCTATTCAGAGATAACATGCTCTCAAGCACATGCTTGGTCATCATCTACGTACGATTCCTTCGCCCTACACCTGTGTGCGAACTGCAAATTGTGTTATTTCTAGGCCAGGAGCATTAGAGCCCGAAAGCCTTGTACCACTAGTCACAACCGGTAATACGATTCCTCTAACTCCTGCTAGCAATTCAAGTCAAGTAGTCATTATTAACACCACACGATCTCCTACGGATCCAACTCCTCAAGCAGCAAGGACGGGTCCCTCGCCTGTTGTACACATTCCTGCAATTACAACTGCAGTGACGTTAACGGGGCCGACAGGACTTAGAATTCATATGACGATACCTGGTAGTGAATTTGCTAGATATATTGTGACAACTATTCCTAACAGTAGGGTGACGTACGAGACAGTCGATGGATGTGTAGCAGACTCGAGAGCATCAGGAGAATCAGGAAGTCAGACGAACGTTATGCCCAGCGTCTAACTCGGTGGATGAAAAGAAATCTCTAGAGGCAGCGGTGCAGTCAACGTCGAGAGAACACTCACGACACGCATCGCCAGTACAGTCGCCACCACAAGCATCACGCTCGCCTCAACGACGTACATGTCAACGTCAGCGAACTCCCCCATTATTCAGTACTGTGAAGAGAACGATAAGAGGGACATTAGCGGCAAAAAAGAAGAAAAGGAAGTGGTGTCAGAAACAGGTGAAGACAGCAAAGGAGTGGCTTCAAATATTGATCAAGAAGTTTCGAAAGACAGTCCCAGTGCAATCGCCACTACCAGAACCACTTTCATCATCGGCGCTAGCTCCAGCTCCGAATCCAACTCAAAGTCCAACTCAAAGTCCAGCTTTAATACCAGCCCCAGGTCCAACTCCAGGTCTGGGGTCAACGTCAGCTCTAGTTCAAGCCCCAGAGCAAGCTTCAGAGCACCCCCCAAGAAACGAAAGTATAGAAAATTAAGATCCGTTCTAAAAGCGGTCAAAGAATATTGGAAGCCAACAATCACACCAACACGTAATCCAGTACAATCGCAATCACTATGGCTATCACAAGAGCCACCGGCAGCGTTACGACCAGCTCCAGTGCAAAAACGGAAGAGAAAGAGGACACGCATTCTGAGAGCGATCAAAGAGTATTGGAAGCCATCAGACAATACAGTACCACCACGCGACCCAGTACAATCGTGGGCACGGCCGTCAGTAGTGCCACCACCTCCAATGCGAGCCTCAGGACGACCCCCAGTGCGAACCCCGGTGCAACGAAAGCAGAAGAAAAAGAGATCAGTTCTAAAAGCGATCCACGATTATTGGAGGCCTCCTCCACCTTGATTGCTCGAAAATCTGAAGAGCAGGATCAGTATGCGGGGCCTGGGGATGGATACATGCAGATGCAAGTTATTGGGAGCGCAAGAAACGCTACACATGTTGGTCCTGAAGTGGGAAACTTTGCAAGTGAAGATCCATTGTCAAGTTCGTCAAGCTCTACCATAATGGTGGAGACTACGTCGTCTGCTAGTGCATCGATATCTCATAACGACTTACCTTCAAAGTCAAGGACGATGATGGCTACTGTGCTGCCAGACTCAATCTCTACACTTAGCATTCGAAATTGTGAGAATGAATCTGACGAACCCTCACAAGCTGGTCGTGTAACGACAGGCTCTGTATCTCTTGCTCAATTTCCCTCAAATGGTTTTAGCTCATCCGCTCAAGGTGGCCGTGTAGCTCCAGCTTCCCTTGGTATGATGCTCGCGGTATTCGACCGGCCTGCCAGTAGCGAAAACTTTAACACATCGAATCGAGCTCGACCTTTGATAATGGATAGAATCATGGCTTTCGCTGATGTGCACTCCCGAGAAAACTTGAGAGAAGCAGTATCAACTCTCCAAGAGCCGAAAGAGGGACACTCCGATACGGATGAGGAAGAAAATAAGGAGCCAAGTTCAGGTTCAAGTTGCGAAAGTCATGAGGAAAGCAGCGAGGAAGGCGAGACGTCGTCAAGTGATTATGATTGTCCTGGATCAGAGACTGGCTGTCGTCGTCAACGGACACCGGAAGATCGGCAAGATGAAAAAGATTCGGGATCTGGGGGAGGTCGTGATCACAACCCAGGTAATGGGAATAGGGATGAAGATACACAATCACCAGATCAATCGGGTATTGTTACACTATCCACGCAAGAGACCAATGATAAGAGCAGGGGCACACTTACGAAATTGGAGGCGGATAACAATATTGAAAAACTTCATGCCGACTGCTGGGGCTTGAATTCCCTTGGAGGAAAAGGACAGAAAAAAAGACAAAGACGTGGTAACACTACTTCGGTTTTCTTTGGGGGTGGTTTTCGGAGTTTGGGTCTTGGTGTCGCTGCTCATGCATCCAATGGAAAGAGAAGGAAGATCGGTGAGAAGAGCAGAAAAGAGAAAGGTGTGGAAATAGATGATGCTGATGATGCTGATAATGAAGACTCTGATTCTGATAAGGATGATGAAGGCTCTGCTTGTAATGTTACATTTTACGGCTTCAAGGAAGTCCTGATGAATTGGGATAGGTTGGAGTGTACGAGAAGATATTGAGTTCGACACATATCAATGCAGTGGAATCTGTATGTATTGTCGTGGAAGCGGGAGGAGGAATTGTATGAAATGTATTTTAGATGTTGATCAGGTAGTGGGATACATAAATCAGCGACTAAAGTTAGCACATCATTAGCGAAATAGATCAGCTTTATATATCAAGCCAATACTGTTATGTTTTCTTAATGTACTCATGAGAGAAGAATTCTTTGTTAATTCATATACAGTTTTCGAGTCGAGATTACCTCCTTCTATGCATAACCTTCTTGCTTTTGTCCCGAAACGCCGAATCATGCTGGGTTGGCCATTATATCATACACCTCATCTCATCTCGTCTCATCATGTCATACAGCATATCGTACACCCTCTCTCCATTCATATAATACATCCCCCCATCCTATTTCACGAGACCATCTCTTGCACGTTCCCAGATTCGAACCTCTGTCCACTTCACAAGATAAATATACCCTGCCACTACCAAAGTCCCAACCATCCCTTTTTACACTCCCAAACTCAATTTTAAGCACTTTGAAGAATTAGAACCTCTCCCCTCTCCTGCCCACAGCTATCCACATCTCCCATCCCTCCAGCCGGTCCTCCACCTCTCCTCCCAGCGGTCGCAATCAAACTCCCTCTTCCCCAACTTCCGATTCACATCATTATGGGCCTCGCACATCCACTTCCCAAACTCGGCGCGACTCTCCGTGCGCACCTTGTTCTCGGCCATGTAGGATTGGAAATCCGAGGCGCAGGTCCAGCAGGGGTACAGCTGGGAGAAGAGGCTCATGAAGGTGGAGATGTTGGTGCGGTCGGTGGGGGTGGGGGTGTTGGGGTAGGAGGCGGAGAGGGTGTGGAGGAAGGTCCAGGAGGCGCGGCCGAGGGCTTCGATGTCGGGGGGGCAGTCGGTGGGAGGGGTGGGAGGGGAGGAGGAAGAGGAGGAGGAGGTTTGGAGAGATTTGGTGGTGCTGGTGAAGGAGGCGAAGGAGTTGCAGGAGCGGCAGCTGAGAGGAGGGGAGGGAGGGTTAGTGTGGGTTTGAGTCAATGGATATATGCGATGGGGTGAGATTGATAGGAGGGGGGAAGGGGAGGGGGAATTAAGTATAACTTACGGTTTCCCATCTTTTCCTAATATTACACCTTTGGGATATTTTTTTGGAGGGACGGCCGCGCTCGCAGTAGGTGTATTTGTGGTTTCATCCTGTGTGTCTTCTGACATGTTCGCCTTTATTATTTTCAGAAAGGAAAAGAATTACACGAAACAATTGTGAAGCTTAGAAAATGTACAACAATGTCCAGATATACATTAATAATTGAAGCTCTGGTTTGTAAGAAAAGGAAAATGATCGGCCTTTTCCGCATTTTCCGCATGGGTACAGGGGTACACGGGTATGGATTAAGCTTAAAAGATTGACATGTCATTGACGAATAGGAAGAGTTGGAGTTCTGATTGCTGGGAGCAGAGACTAATCATCATTTCTCCGACATGCGCCCCGCAAGTGGGATGGATGGATGGATGGATGGATGGATGGATAAAGTTTCATGTGCTATTTAGGACTGTGAGACTTTGATGTTTGTATCTAGGGAAATTACGACGCGAATGAATTTGAGAGATAGGAGAGAAGGAAATTGAGGAATCGAAAGAATGGGGAGAATACCGACGTTTTTGCTGAAGACGAAGAGTGTGCCGAATGATGGGTATGAGGAGAGGTTTGAGGAAGTGAGTTTCAATGCGATGAGACATGGAGGAGGGGTAGAGGGGAGTGAGAGGGGGTTCGAGCCGATCTTTGTGCCGGTATTGGAACATCGGTTTGTGGATGAGGGAGTGGAGGAGGTTAGGAGGTTACTCCAGGAGAGGGGCATTGGAAATGAAGAGGGGAAGAAATATGGAGGCTTGATTTTTACAAGTCAGAGGGCTGTGGAATTATTTGCGAAGTTGGTGGAGGAGGGGAAGAATGAAGATGGTATGTGATGGATTTCATGTGGTTGAGTGGTAGAGATCATTGACTAATAGATATTAATCTAGAGAGCGATGAATGGCCATATCTACACAATATACCAGTCTATACCGTCGGCCCAGCTACTTCACGAGCATTACGATCGATACCTCAAACCCCCGCTTTGAATATCTTTGGAGCCGAATCGGGAAATGGAGAAGCATTGGCACATTACATGTTGGAACACTATGGGAATTGGTATAAAGATCGCTCCATAAAGCCACCTCTCCTTTTTATGGTTGGAGAACAGAGACGAGACATTATTCCTAAAACATTGATGGATCCAGAATTATCGGCCGAGAAACGAATTCAAGTCGATGAAGTCGTCGTTTATGGGACGGGAGTAATGGAATCGTTCGAAGAAGATTTCAAAGCTTTATTAAAGAAGACGGAGAATAGGGATGCTAGATGGGTCGTTGTTTTCTCGCCGACAGGATGCGATGCTATGCTACGATCGCTAGGGATGTTAGATTCCCAAACTGGGAAAATAATACGAGCGGATGGACAAGATGGAAAGAGAAAGACTTTCATCGCCACAATTGGACCTACTACCAGGGATTATCTTAAGAAAACTTTTGATTATGAACCGGATGTTTGTGCTGGGAAGCCAAGTCCTGAAGGTGTAATTGAGGGGATTAGGAAATTCTTGGATGAGAGGTAGTTATAGATATCTCGTGAATGATTGAAAGATGCTTGACACATGATCTACCTCTTTGGGTTTCAAGTGCAGGTTTGTATGTAATTTGTGGATTGGTGATACAGCATAATGAATTGATGCAAGGTAGATGGCAATCCATTCTGAAGGTTGTCATACATAAAATCGTCCGATGGTTCATTTTGATAACGTACAAAAAGGGGGCATGGATGTCGTTGAACCGTCGACTTGGGATGGTATATATCAATGGAGATATATATATATGTTGTATATTAGATGGAAGAATGCAACCTCGCCGAGAGAAATATAATGAGAGTTTAAAGACGACAACATTGATTGATATTCACCACTCTCGCCACTCAAACAAACATTTCTTGGCTCCCGCACACCTTTCAGCCTTATCCGTATCTCAGCTGATCTAACCAATTGAAACTTATTAGTGGCACCCCCCTTCAACAATCAAAGCACTGGCATTTGGAAATCGACAATCGACGACATCTTTCTTTTCATCAGACCACGAATGGGTGAATTCACTCCAACCAATTACCCAATTACCCAATTACCCAATTACCCAAGTACGGCAACTTTGAAACTGTATCATAATTCTTTCTCTCCCTTACCCTTACTACAGTTACCATCTCGGATTCCATCCCACGAAAGCTTTACTTCTCACATTCCAAAATTCCAAGCTATCCTTGGAACAAAACCACGAAACGTTCCAGTAATACTCGCGCATAGCATACACAACATATACCTACGAGCAGATCCATTCATGCAGTGAAACCATTCACAATCGCATCCATCCACAATGCCCAATAATCGCTATCACGACGAAACCCCCATGTCCTCCTCCGGCACCTCTACTCCCACCCTCTCAAACTCCACAAGCTGGGCTGTCCCGACCATTTCCACCGCAGTCACTGGACTACTGCGGCGTTTTTCCACCGAACCCTCCACTCATTCGGGTAACGGCAATGGGAATCATCACAACAATACTTCTAATCACGCGAAATCGCACTCTCCATCATTTTCCCCTGCACAAAATGGTATTCAAGGCGTCTATACACCTCCTCATCGAACCGCGTCGCCCTTTCAACCACCGCCTTTGTATCCAGTGATGTTGAAGGGGTGGAGAGAAAATACAGATCCGTCTGCGCAGTTGTTGAGTCGCGCATTGGCGGAGGAAATTAGATTACTGGTTCCCCCACGCTTACAGTTGTGCGAGGAGTGGAATTTGGTTTATAGTTTGGAACAGGATGGGGTTAGTTTGGGGACGCTTTACAAGAAGTGTGATGACTTGAGGGGTTTGAGGAATGGCTTCGTGTTGGTTGTTAAGGATGGAGAGGGCGGGGTATGTATTCCTGTGTATATCTTGTCTGGTTGATATCTTGGAGATCTTTGCGATGCGTATGAGATTGGGCATTTGGCTAATGAGATTTTTGAGTATAGTTATTTGGCGCATACCTGACTGAAGCACCGCACCCCGCGCCTCACTATTTTGGTACAGGAGAATGTTTCCTCTGGCGCGCAACCATCCTTTCCTCCTCTCTACTAGCGAATCTTCCTCCTCCCCCTTCCGCCGACACAACAAATTTGCAACGCTCAACTACCATCGGCGCTCCTCGAGATCAGAACCATAATCCCTCCCACCCCTCTTCACTCCTCTCTCTCACTTTCTCCCAATCCCCTCTCAAATCCCCCTCCTCCATCAAATCAGGCGCCAGCACACCCGAACGAATCCGTTTCAAAGCCTTCCCCTACTCTGGAATAAACGACTATATGATGTTTTGCGAAACGGGATTTCTATCAATAGGAGGTGGAGATGGACATTATGGACTTTGGTTAGATGATACGTTCGAGAAGGGCGTAAGTAGCAGTTGTCCCACGTTCGGAAACGAACCATTGAGTGAGGAGGGGGAGAAATTCGATATCATAGGGGTAGAAGTGTGGAGTATTGGGAATTAAGCGATATTGCTACACGAGAGAGAGGTCCTCAGGAAGGAAATAGGAAAAGCAGGCAGGACGTACAAAGGGAAGAGGAGGTTGCAGGACAATCCGGATCGATTAATGTATGCATGATACCCTTATTGCGAAATTTGTAGGCAGCTTGAAGCATTTTTACTTTACCCTCGTTACATTCCATGAATAAGAAAATGAATGGATAGCGCTGGTAATACATATAATAGGAGTATACAGCGAGAAAGAAACATTCCTACCTATTTTATCTAACTTTTCTTTTCCGGTCCAGACATTGAAATTGAAATAGGGTTTTGGGAGCAAAAAAGCCAAGGATGTTGAGAATGGTACAGTGATTACGATTCCATTCTATTCTATTCTCATACCCTCTATTCCGTATTCAAACACCTCGATTCTTTTACTCTCAGTAAGATATCACATTATCACAATTGCACACGAGGAAATGCAAAATTGTCGTTCTCACGTCATGTCATGTCATCTCGACTAATCTCCCATCTGGTACAAGAAAGAAAACCAAAGCTCGAGGCTCACCGGAGAGGTGAATACTTCCCCGGTGAGCTCGGAAATTTTTTCTTAAACATTTCTATCCGTCGCCGAGAGGAGTGATTATTCAATGTAAACTGATTGCTAGGTACTTCATAGGTAGTATCTAGCATTCTCTCGGTACGGTTTTACGAGTACTACACAATATATCTAGGTACGCAATCCAACTGTAGAGTAGCTAGCTGAGTAAATGCACGCTACGACAGAAAAGAAGTGTAGATAGACATGATCCATTCATCCTCATTATCAAAATCACTTCGAGTTTATATTTGCACCTAGATAATTCTGGGGTATTGTATATCGAGAACCTTATATCCATCAAGATCATTAATACATCATACAACCCAACGCCAGGTATCAAGTATCATTCCTCGACGGTCATAACCCTAACACCGTAATCATCATTATCATCAACCATCCGATACAAGGATACCCATTCCCAGTTTTCATCTCCTGCCTAACACACACCTTCGACGTAAATTCAAGCACTAGCCTGTACAACTCTGAACCCACCCTGTACCAACTTGGTAATCTCTTCATTCTTGTGTTGTAATAAACTCAAAGCATACGCGACATCATTCCACTGTCTTTCGCTTTCACATCTAGCTAATCGAGCTGCCAGCTTATCGGCAAGTTGGCGGGCATGTTTATCCTATTTATAAGATCAGTATCAATTCCTGTGAAAGAATTATTTACAGAGAAGTAGCCACATACCTTTTCAATAAATCCAGCCAAGAACTTGATGATTCTTCTGAGAGCATCCTCTTCAAGTTCCTTCTCGGCACTGAGCAAGCTGAACATATCAACAAAGTGATTATATACAGCATTATCCTTCGTGCTCAGTTCAGTAAAGAACATTCTGCTTAAATCTGCGATACGTTTGTCATCATCTTCGAGACATTTTGCCATCTCTCCTAGTTGCCCCTTAACCTTCACTTGACCGGCAAGAATGAGGAAAGTGAGAGTCATCAAACAAGTTCTCTTCACACTTGCATCCTTATCGTTCAATCGTCTATATAGGAAATCGGTATTTTCGTCGATGAGATGGTTAAAGCAGACAGCCATATCACCAAGAGCGATTACTACGTTCGAACGGATAATCGGATCCTTCGATCGCTCCATAATAGTGATGAGAAGAGGTAGATTGGTTTCACAATATTCGGAGCTGACGCACATGAGCTTTGCCAAGCAGAGGGTAGCAGCTGCTTGAAGGTTGCGATCCTTGTAGGTTGTATTGTTGGAACAAATTTCGGCCACAAGTGGTCCAAAGTTAGCGAGTAGAGAATTTTGTCCAAATAATAGTTCACGTTCTCTGATATGTGACATGGCGTCTGTGAAATCATCTTCTGTTGTTCCTCCTATCATGTCGAGATCATCGGCAGCTTCTTTCGCGGCCTTATCTGCTGGTGTCTCCGCTGCTTTGTTCTTTTCAGCGTCTACCTTCCGCCTCTTGAAATCCATTTCGCAAAGCTCAAGATGCACAATCTGCTTGATAGCAACATGTCCGACTATGAACAGAAGTTGCGATAATGCAACAGAACCCTTGTGCTTGTTTTCGGATGGCGCTGGAGTTTCAGTCTTCACCGGTGGCGCTTCTTCTTCTCGTCCCTGTTCTTCGGTGTCGGCATCCGGCATATCTACGTCCATCATGTCTGTATCATCGTCCTGATCCAATTTGGTTCGAGGCGATGTCGCAGCTCGCCGCTGGAATACCGATTTTGTCTTTCTTCGAAGGATCTCTGAGCAAAGGTTGTCTGGATGTTTCGAAAGGGCATAGATAGCACTAATCGCCTGTTCAGCGACACCATACCACTCTTTATTATCAGACTCCACTTCGATAATAGCGGCCAACTTTCCGAGAACGGCATGATCATTACTAAGCTTTGAAGTTTGCTGTGTCGCTTGCCTTCCCGTAGGGTTAATTCGTCGCAGGGCTAAGCATGTGTATTTGGCCAACTGCAAGTCTGATCTACCGAGACTCCCCAAACCAATCCTTAACATTGTCTCCATTTCCCCAACCACAATTTCCGGCTTTGCGGTAGCAAGCATACCTAACACAATGATTGCACCTCGTCTCTGACTCTTCGATATTTCTCTCTTCTGGACTCCATAGACTTGCCAAAGTTTTGAGATGACGAGATCCGGAATATGATTTGCCTTCATCATGGTGCTTAATAGTTGTTCAAGAGAGGTTAATTCTGCCGGTGTCGCTCCAAACGTCAAACTAATCATATTACGTGCAACGTAATTCGCAGCGTCATTTCCACTGTACGTATCAGGGGCTTCAAAAAAGAGGCGTTTGTAACAATCAATAAGATGATTTTGAACACCCTTTCCTTCGTCACTATTACCCTTGGTCCAGATTAGACGTAACATTCTTCTGATGCCAAGCTTATTTTGTTCGATACTGTAAGCATCGCCAACTTCGAAGTAGTCCATAGCCTCAATAACTTCGCTCTTGTTTTTTGATCCAAGCAGTTGACAGATAATGGTAGTAGCTCCATGTAGAACTTCAATAAATTTAAGAGCCTCAACATAGTATCGCCTGGTTAAAGTTAATTTATTGATAGCTTCTGAAGTAGCAGCTTCTTCTTGTGCTTTTTTGATTGCCGCTATCTTTTCCTCGTCGCTCATAGGTGCTTGAGCCTTCTTGGGAGAATACGATTCCAGAACAGTAGCATCGTCTAGTAGTTGGGGATCTGCTTCTGCTGTGGTAGTATCAGCTAATCCAGCTGCTTCGGCTGGGGGCTTAAGTGCATTTAGCTCCGCATCAACTGCCTCTAATCGAGAATTCCACTCCTTGAAATTCAACTGTGATCCGTGCATTAGACTAAATGGATGAGTTTTGATCAAGGTTCCCAAGAGTTTGACGGCATTTCGGCGGACATTGCTACTCTTATCCTCTAAACTTCGCGCGGCCAATTCGGCGACTCTCTGCCGACGCTTTGGAAACTTTTGTTCGAGTTCACAAAGCTTGATATAAACTTGGATTGCCCGACATCTACAGTAAGGGTTGATATCCAAGAATCGTTCTTCCAATACATCAAAGAATGCATTGAGTTGCGATTTGTGGTTATCGCCACGTTCTTCCTGCTTACTCAGGTCTGCTATGAGGTTTCCACAAATTTCGATGAGGGCACATCGTACTGCGTAGTTTTCGCTATCCAGTTGTTTTGCCAACATAGTCATTTGCTTGATAACCAGCCTAGGAGCGAGTTCAGAAAGTTTGACGATAAATGTTGAGACCGACTTCGGTCCTTTAGTATCATTACTATTGAATTCTTTGTTGCTTAGCTCTCGAATGATTTCGTCCGATAATTGAGGATAATCATATTGCTCTGATAAAATATGCAAGAATTCGGCCATAGGTTCTGCTAAATGCTCGAAGTAGGTCAAATTCTGCACGATAGATATTTGTGCAGCTATCATTTAGTCAGTTCAAACTCCTTCATACAGCTGAAAATAACCTACCATAACCGTGGCCGTGATGCTTAACAGCAATGCAGAGCACTTTGAAAGCGTGCATCCGGATTGCTGTATTCTTAACTCTTTGCTCACTCTCTAGTACCATATACACAGGTCTCGTGAATAGACTTATGAATGTATCCCTCTCGGATGTTGTTATAAATATCTTGGAAAGCTTTAACTTTAAGACCTTGCACATAGTGTCAAGTGCTGTTTGTAATTGAGCAGATGAGTCCCAATTCTCGTTTTTCGCACTTGCTTTAGCTTTTGAGGCCTTGCCTCTTCCACGAGCTACCGGAGCAGTTGTCGACTTCTCGGCCGCCTTGGTTTCCACCGCTGCGATCGTCCATTGTAAAAGGAATCCAAAGATCCCCAGTAATTGTTTGTGGTGAGCGACTAATTCCTGTTCATCTGTTTCGAGATCGTTATGGATAATATCCGCTTCGGCAGAAAGGCCGGAGACTATGAGGTCAAATATCTTGCTCAAGGCATGTGTAGGTAGGGCGGAGGAGGATCTAGAAAGTTTGAAGAGTTCAGAATCTGGTTCGGTGGGGTAATTTTGAGTAGATTGAGGACAAACTGGTACACACTTTAGCAGAAATTGCAAGGAATCAAATGATGAACTTCTTGTTATAGCATCTGGATTCTCTGCAACTGAATCCACGATGGGGTTAAGGACACTGTTGACCAGGGCATTTGTGAGTGATTCGGGGTCATTTTCGCAATCGGCAAGGTTGGAATCTGCCTCTGGTGTCGGAACAGTAGCGGGGTCGCTCATATAATGCTTAAGAGCATCATTGATATCGAAATCTATTGTATCCATATTTTCGACAATGACGACCTCTCCAGAATCGCAGTAGAATACATAAAACGAGGTTGTGTATTGTCGATGATTTACTTGTTTGTACGAGTGAGGTTTGCGACAATAGTTGCTAGGGGTTTTGTGTTTATTGATGTTGACTTTCTACCACTTCAAGACTAGCGCCTAGATTCTGCATCGCGATTTGACCGCGACTTATTAAAGACCCCGCCAAAAATCACATACAGCGAGCAACAAATTACTACTGCGTAGACTGTACTATGCAAACCGATTGAGGTCTCGACTCCATTCAGTGATGGGTCTTTAAGAATCTCAATTTACTCACAATTCTACTCAATAGCAATATGTCAACAACACGTCAACGTCAAGGGAATACCAAAAATTCTTTCCAAATTCACAATGACGAGACAAATCAAGAGGAGTCAATGAACGAAGAGGGCCTCGAGAATGATGAATCAAGAACTGAAGATAACGAAAGGCTTCAAGAGGAAGGGTATTCGGAAGACTCTGACGAAAGTGATGATGCCGTTGATGCTGCTACTGCAGAGGATATCGCCAAATTCGAAGCAACTTTCAAGGGCATAAAAGATCGATTTCGGCTGATAAATCGTATTGGAGAGGGTAAATCAAGCAATTGTATGTTATGGTACAGTTACTAACGCGACTCAGGTACATTTTCTACCGTTTACAAAGCAGAGGATCTCTTATATGAGCACTACGATAATGATTGGGATATTGAAGAGAAAGAACATTCTGCATGGACGTCACCGCCCGTGAAGAAAAGGAGGACCGGTGGAATTCGAGAAGTGTTGGACCAATATAATCAACAACGCCGTAGGAAAAAGTATGTTGCCATAAAGAAAATCTATGTTACAAGTAGTCCAACTCGAATCCTCAATGAGCTAGACCTCCTAAACGACCTCCGAGGCTGCGATTCAGTCTGCCCCCTCATTACAGCATTCAGACACACCGATCAAGTAGTTGCAGTTTTACCATATTTCAGACATACGGATTTCAGAGAATATTTTAGGAAGATGAAAGTCTCAGATATGCAGGTGTATTTCCGGTCGTTGTTCACCGCTCTAAAGGCCGTTCATGCCCAGGGTATTCTTCATCGGGACATCAAACCAACAAATTTTCTCTACGAGCCGGATAAGAAAAGAGGCGTACTTGTGGACTTTGGATTGGCAGAGCGAGAAGAAGAGGATTGCAAATCTTGTCTGTGTACAAGGGATTATGACACACGCAAAAGGAAGCTGGAGAATAGTGTAGCCATTCAAAATTTGCCATCGGCTGGCTACCCAAAACATGACAGTCGGCCATCGCGGCGTGCAAATCGAGCTGGAACTCGTGGCTTTCGGGCTCCTGAGGTGCTTTTCAAGTGTCAAGAGCAAAGGACGAAAATTGACATTTGGTCTGCCGGAGTGATACTCTTGACTGTACTTTCAAAACGTTTTCCGTTCTTCAATTCAGCTGATGATGTCGAGGCAATGATTGAGATTGCTACCATATTTGGAGTCAAGAGAATGAAGAACTGTGCTTATCTTCACGGGACTGTTTTTGAAACCAATATTCCCACGATTGGCCAGGCTGGGTTCGCGTTGGAGAAAATCATCCTATGGTCAACATGTAGAAATGATGGAGGACCAGATGGGGCGGAACAGCCATTGACCAAGGAAGAGAAATTGGCCGTCGAATTTTTGGAGCGCTGCTTGGAGCTCAATCCGCACAAACGTATTAGCGCAGAAGATGCCTTGAATCATCCATTCCTTCTGGAACCAACGCAAGATGACATCAAGAACGAAGATTATGATGACGAATTAAGTATGATTCCAGCGTAATGAATGGCGTATTGGCGCTTTTGGGATTATGTGGAGTTTGGTAAATTTGGTTTGGGACTTTATTGTATATATATTAGTATTGTGAGGACATGGAGATCTTGCATGCCAGTCCTCAAGATACCGTTTTATATAGCACCCAATATAGGTGTAGAGGTTTCTCCGGAAAGTGAATCTTCTCTCAGATAGCATAGCACCCATAATAATGAAAATCAATTCACCAACGAAAAAATGGTTTCATAATTCCTTTCATTTTCATCAAGAACTCCAATAGCCATTTGTTCAGAAGCCATTTATGGTATTTTGAGAAAACCTATAATCCATTCGCTATGAATTTTCCCATTTATGCAACCAATTCAACAACTCCTCCAGCCTCTGTGATCTTTCTCTCTGCCTCCTTGCTGAACCATCTTGCGCGTACAACCAATGGTATTTCTGGGATTCTACCCTTTCCGAGAACTTTTGAGTAGCCGAGTGGGAGAAGGTCGAGGACTGGGACGGTGTCTTTCTTTTCGCCGGAGAGATATTCATCACGCTTCTCGGCTGGGACGAGGGACCAAAGCTAGAGAACAATATTAGTAAATATATTCTTGTGTCATGGTCGTTGCATCTCGAAAGTCCTAAACTTTCCCGCGATCCAAATTGTAGGATTGAACGTACCTTGTCAAGGTTGACAACTGGCTTCCAGAAGTGGTTGCCTTGCTTGTGGAAGTATCTCATACCGACCTTTCCGAAGTAACCTGGATGGTACTTATCCATGTTGGTTCGGTGATGATGTTGACCACCAGCAAGACCGCGACCACCTGGATGCTTGCGGTGCTTTCCTACACGACCTTTACCGGCGGAAACATGACCGCGGCTATACAGAAAAAAATCTCGTCAGCTTCAATTCTTTTTCAATCCTCCATCCAATACACTATCAACAGTTTCGAGGGGAATTGATCTGGGCGTGCGCTCAATCGGTTTGTAATTTGTCGATAGGAAACTGCGATTTCGAGGGATAGAACGTACTGCTTGCGGGTTTTGCTCAAATGGGTAGGCATCTTGTCGTTGAAAGAGTGCCGTGTGGTTGTCGATGTCTTTGGTGAGACTTTGAAAGTTCGAAAAATGTTAATAGGAATTCAAGCAATTGTGTGGGCGCACGTGGACGCTAGTAAGCGAACAAATAAAATAGTTTTGCCTCAGGTCCCACAGTTCCATTTCTTCTCACGAACCCTCGCCATGCTCTCTCTCATGTTGATTGAAATTAATTCTCTTGACTTACTTCTATTCACATTCTCGTTTTTCCAGGGTTGAATAAAAGTGATAAATATATATCATTTTGTCACAATTTCAAATGTTCAACAGATCCCGAAACCCTATTGAAAAATTACAATATATCATGACCCAGCTGACATGTTCAGTGAATAGCTGACAGCCCCCAGATTACCTAGGTCTAGAAACATGATCAACCTACCTTCGTGGTATGCGTTCTCTAGAAACCAATTATTGCACTACGAGTGTGGAACAATCTCTGCACTCTATTGGCCTATTCTTGAATGTTGTATGAATGCAATACAGGATGCCTCCGCAGAAAAATCCTTCTCGTGGGCGAAGTCTCTCCTGAGGCGGAATGATAACAAACCGAATTTCAATAAGCCAATGTCTTTTCTAAATCCAAACCGTTTCTTGTCGTTTCGAGTTCCCAAATGGCTCTTCCAAGACTAGGAGATTGTAGATAGTTCACCACCCCCTGAGCATTTCGCAGACATCTTGACTCAACATCTGGTTCGAGAATCGTAGTTTTTTGACCAATTCTTTTGACAAAAGCGTCCAGTTTTGATTTGGTCGCTCAACATTCTCATACTGTTCCCTTGTATACATGACGGAATCTCCATACCAGGCACACCATAGCAATCGGTTATACCATTCAGCCTAGCATGGTCCAAGGTCACGAAAAGGGGAGCACATTCTCAGAAAGTAGTTTTGAATGTATCAATTTGACACCGCAAAACTCGGTTCATGTGCAGGGCTCACACCGAGCCCTTTCCCTTGATGTGGATGCACCTTTTCATTCGCCAGATTCCCGCAAGATACATAGATCACGACACTACGTGAAATGGGGAATTGCATGGCAACCCCTCTGGTTTATGATATTGCTCGTCTTGTGTGGGTATGCTCTAGCCATTGGGCATCACTTCTATTTCTCTTCCCTTGGTAGACTGGCTGGATCACCGTTACGCAAGCAATGGGCTATCAGGTTTGATACTATATTTGCTTATGCTACTGCTTGACTATTCGTAGCCGCAACAGGAGCAGCCTAATTACTTGCACATGCCATTTTGGCCGTGCTATTAGCATTGTGTCCCTGGTAAGTAACGCCACCTCATATGAAATAAGTCACGACTTCTACTTTTTTTCGTACAGGTTGGTAGCTCTAGCAGCCACTGCACCGCCCGCCGCTTTGTCTGTGGTCCCAGGCATTTCTATTGAAAGGCAACCAGCAGAAGTTCCAACTATCGATTGGATCTCAGAAGGATTTTACTATCCAAGGTTCGATCCAATCGCTCGGCCGACAGCGGAACTTTCTGCACTCAGTGTCTGGAGCCGAAAGTATGGATGTTCTTCCGCATGATCCACCGGCCGAAAATTCGTCTTACTACTTACAATTTTTGGGGGCGGACCATAAGATGTTCACCATCGACAGATGTCCAACAGCAATTCTTCAACAATTTTATCGCCTCCCTTCCTAATGATACAACAACGCCTTATCTACTTTCAATCCTAGGCACTATTACTACTGTAAGCCGGCCATACTCTTATTAACCTTGCTTTTCAACGCTTATGTTTTCTGCATTCACACAGCTCTTCGCGGATTTCGACTTCTTAGGTTACAGTTACAATCGTGAGAACCTCTGGTTACTACCGTCTAATTTAAGTGCCTATTCGAAGCCAAACGTACAATTATGGGTGCAGACCTCGCGAAATGATTTCTTATGCTCGCTAAGTAACACGTCTTACGAGGTAGGTTTTGATGTCGAGAATGGCGACCAAGCAATCACCAGTCTTCAGACCATAAGGTTTGGACCTGTACTAATGGATTCTCACGCTAACGACTTCAATGACTTCAAAGTTTATCCATATACTAAACATGACTCCTACATTGCGTCGTCTGTAGCTCTATGCAACCTCTTAGTGGGTAACATTACTGTACTTGAAGAAGTTTCTAAAGCTAGTGGGGAACTTTTAGTTGATGACTCTTCCAACTTGATTTCAAGAAGTGGGCTCGACGCATGTGAGAATTTTACTAACAGTTTGGGGAGAGATGTACTAGTAAGAGGCATCACTATTGATTGTGACAAAATGAGAATGGACAATTCCTCTTGCAATAGTAACCGCCCTATTGTGTAGTCTAACTCTTCGATGTCCGAACGATATAGTCGACCAAATCAATGCCATTAGCAGAACTTTTGGCAAGCCTCAATTCATGTGTCGCAATCGAACTTGGATCGGGCAATTGAGGATCTTTATCAAAACATCACAATAAGCATGCTCAGCGCAAACTCAACTGACGTAAGTAGCTTTCATATAATTGAAGTTTCCCAAGTTTCAAATTCCTTGAGTGTTATCATCACAACTGTATCTTGTACATCAGTGCAGTGCAATAAGCAATATTACAACGCAAGAGTGCAGTTTTGTCCCAGTTTTAGGCGGCCATGTTAATAGGCACATTACAGGAAACTAAAACACGTCAATGTAACTAACATACAGAAGATCAACAAACGTTTACCAGTACGATTCGCGCAACCTTATATTATCCTACAACATCGCAACTTTTATAGTTTTCATAAGTATTATTATAGGCATATTATCATGTATCAGCAATGGCGTTGCCTATAGCACCCCTTTCTCAGCTCTAGTCGCCACGACGCGCAACCCGAACTCGATGCTCTGTCCAAGGGACATTGTATGGGCTCACTACCTCTTGACAAAGAAATGGCAAAGACGAGATTGAGTTTGGAGAGCTGGAAAAGGGTGCTGCGAAGGAATGACTGGGATGGGAGTGTTCAAGTTAAACATTTGGATTTGGGTTTGAGGAGGATGTAGTGAGATTGAGAAAGGGTCAGGGTTTATATTTGAACAAAAACATGCTTATATGGTGTACGAAGAGAGTTTGTGTAGGAAATGGGTATTCCATGTGACTGGATATGGAGGAGAATTTCGGATATACGGGATATACAGGACATATCAATGCTTTGGTTTATTCCAATTTGTCAACAGCTATAAAGTAACATAATTGTTCAGGATGAAAGTTTAAGTATACTCATATATTACAAAAGATCTGTCTAGGATGATACGTGTTCTAGATCCATAGCAATTCATTACCTATTTTGTCTCATCCGTTAAGCAATTCATAGTCTTGCGTCCATCATGTTCTATTCAAGTCAGTGTAACCCAGTCGACCATAGGTCATATCGGTTGAGGCAATTAGATCTGGCTGCCTCTCTGTTATACTTTCGCTACGAGATGTATCCCACATATCATCAACTCAATCACCCATTGCTCTTTCCTATTTCCTCATTTCACAAACCCACCCGACATACAAACTCTACCACACTCATTAAATGGCCAACTGACCCGCACACTCAGCCCCTTCAACACAATATATTATACTCCAAGCTCAAAATCGGTGAACCTTATAGAATTTTCTCTGATAGAAAAATATTAGCATGTAGTTGATTCGGAGTTCCCTTTATGAAAGTTTTATTGCATATCTGAATGTAAAAAGGTTCGAACAGACCTGGAAAGATCAGTAATCTCAAAACTCACTGCGAAGTATTCAAACCAACGATCCGGATAATTTGACTTTGTTCGGCTTGATTTTATTCAGACTCGCTAATTTGTTAGGGAGTATTAGTAAATTCAAAGACCCTTCTTTACGAAGTAATTAGGGAATACTTCAACCCAGGATCACTCATGCAACCCTCAGAACTAAGTTCACAACTTCCCATCTAAAAATAGACCCTTCTCCCGGTGAGCCCGCAGACCAAATCTCTCCGTCCCCAGTCCGCCTGGAAAACTTATCCATCAGCATGTCCGGATAACACACCCCAAACAAAACCCACACCTCCTTCCTTACCGCCATTTCACACATCCGTATCCGTGTCCCCTCATCCGTATCCGTCCGTGTCTCATCCCTGCCTCCATGCTCCATCGCATCCCCTCCCTCCAAACCCAAAAGTCACCAGGATAGGGCCCCGAGGGTCCATGATCCATCAGCAAGCACAGCTCCCACCTGCAATCCACACCTAGGAGCCTAGTACCTACACACAGACAGCAACTCCCATTCTTCACCTTGGATGCTTGGCATGCATCCTTACCCGCATAAGTTCGGGAAACTTCCCTTTTCTACGAAGGGAAAGGCTCACTTACCTAAGTTACCTGGGTGCGGTTTACGATTTACGGTTTGCTTTGTTTACCTAAGCAATCTTGCTCCACCGGAACTCTCGAAATAAATATCTTTAGACACCGAAAGCGACATCGGCAACTATTTTATTCTCTCTACTTCTTATTCGTCTACTGATATCCTCCCGGCTGTCTGCTCCCGTCTTGGCTCTGTCAGTGTCAGTCTTTTGCATAATGTCTATGCAGTATAGCAAGCGATCCTTTATTTCGATATGCTTTGGGTAGGTACTCATACACTGTATGTTAGGAGTATCAGATTGGTAACTTGGGTTTGCTGTACACAGTGTGATTATATGATAGTAAGGATCCTTTCAAATATCCATGCTTCATCGTCTAAATGCCTCGCCATTAAAATCTCGGTACGAAGAGGAAAATAATAGATTACCGGTAATAGATCGGCGTTCTGTACTCGAGTAAGCTATTGTATTGTATTGTATTGTAAGCAGACAGCGGGGTTGCAACCCCGCGTTTTTGTTTTTCCTTTTGCTGTTAGTTTGTTTGTCATTAGAGGTATGTATGTATGTATGATGATCTTCTATCTATCTGGGTTTGTGTGTATGTATGTATCTGTCTGTTTGTCTATGATCATCCAGCTACCTACCTATACCCCGATTTCAATTTCCTCCAACCAGAGAATTCGCGTATTGTACTCGGGTTTCAATGTAGATTTGTACATCTGTATATCCTCTCCTCTCCTCGCCTCGCCTACCAATATACTCAAGTCCCTAGCACTCCCAACATCCATCCATTCCATCCATTCCATACTCTAATTCTCATACTCTCTCATCCTCATCCTCATCCTCATCCTCATCCTCGTGTATATCAACATACCGGTACATATCCATCTATATTATCGTCACATATAATCCATCCATCCATCAACCTGCATCTCCATCCCATCCCATCTCCATCCATCCCCATCCCCTCACCCCCACCCTCGGCTCCAACATCCGGACCGAGACTAACATCTCCCATTGCTATTACCTACTGAGTACTCTTACACTCGCCATTCCCATCTACCAGCCAGTTAACCAGTCAATCAGTAGTCAGTAGTCAGTAATACACTACTCAGTACCTACATACCTAGTAACCAAACCACACACCTCAAACTCACATGCGAAGCTTGCAAATCGCAAATCAAATCTCTATATAGAAATCTATCTAAGTTATCTATCTCTCTGCCTTTCCATTCTTTAAAATTCATCAATTGCCCCAAGCCATAATCAATTCACATATCTACACACCTCCCTCCTCCATACTTATGGTATCAGTTCATCTGAATCCCATCATATCATATCATATCATATCATATCATCCAAGCTTCAACCATTTTCTTCAAGAAGTTGCTCGGTGTGGGGGATCCACTTTATTACAAACTATCAATTAACCCATCAAATTTATCTATGACTCCTTCAAGTGAATGATTCAAAAGATGAATTTTTCCCTCTCTCAGAGTATCCCAATTTTCAGATAGACTCTTTCGCATGAATCAAGCTTCTCTTTTCAAACCGCTTGCTGGATTTTAATATATAATATTATATCATACCATATCATACCATACCAAACCATACCATACCATACACATAAACCCTAATTGGTATCTCTATCCAAAATGGCGGACCCCAATCCCAATCCCAACCCCAACCCCAATCCCAAAAAACCAAGAGACATCTTCGAAGGAACCGAAACCTACTATTGCTACTTCCCAAACGGCCCAACCCACCCATTCAACCCCGACAAAGAGATTTCCAGCTCACCCCACCACCCCGATCACTCCGATCCCGACCTCACCACCGGCTCCGAGGAAAAAGATGTAGCATTTGAAGAAACTCTCGCGCGGAGAACTCGAACCAATGGAACCCAAGTGACGACCGCGAGTTGGAGAGCTCTAGGACCGCCGCCGGATGGAGGAATGAAAGCTTGGGTGCAAGGTGTGTGTTTTGTCATTCCTTTTCTTATTTTGCGGGGTAAGAGGTGTGGAATAGAGAGATGGGAGAGGGATGGAAGAATGAGTACTTGTGAGGAAAATTGTGGTTTGGAAAAGAGAAGTGAGAAGGAGAACTGTTGAAACAGCAAGGAAACGTAGGGACAGCATTGAGAGATCAGGCGCCGATGTATCTCGCGTCAAAGTAGTCTTCATCCGAAGTGTCAATGTGAAACCCTCGCAAGTGCAGGTACAAGTCCAAGAAAAACTGCGACTATAAATGCAGGAAGAAACAAAAACAAGACAAACGAGGAAACCCGCGTCAAGGCACGCCTAAATTGTGTATTAAATTGAAATGTAGAAGATTGGCAGGGAGAAGTCAGTGGTTTGATATTAAACCTTACCGAACCACCCACTGACTTCATTGGTTTCCGCAGTTATCCTCAGCCATCTCGTAATCATGAACACATGGTTAGTATTCCCCAAGCATTTCCAATATCCCGCATCTAACCTAACCTCACCACAGGGGTTTCATAAATTCCTTCGGCGTCTTTCAAACCTACTACGTCACCACCCTCAACCGCCCCGCCTCCGATGTCTCCTGGATCGGCTCCATGCAAATTTTCCTCCTCTTTTTCGTCGGTACCTTTACTGGACGTCTCACCGACGCTGGATATTTCCGCTCCGTATTCCTCATTGGCACCATAATCGGTCTCGTCGGAATCTTCATGACCTCCATCTCTACGACCTATTGGCAGGTATTCCTGGCGCAAGGAATCTGTATGGGTCTCGGCAATGGATGTTTATTTTGTCCTGCTCTTGCAACTCTCAGTACGTATTTTAGTACCAAGAAGAGTTTAGTGATCGGGATTGCGGCTGCGGGGAGTGCAACAGGTGGTGTGATTTTTCCAATTATGGTGCAACAGTTATTGCCCAAAATTGGATATGGGTGGACGATGAGATCGCTAGGTCTGATTCAATTAGTGTGCCTTGGAGTTTGTAATATCGGGATTAAGCAGAGAGTTCCCCCGAGGAAGAATGGTGCTTTGATAGATTATCCATCATTCAAAGACGCTCCATATGTGTTATTTGCAATTGGAATGTTTTTCGTAAGTTGTGGTAATCATGTGTTAATCGACGCAAATTATTGATAGTGAACAGAACTTTTGGGGCTTATATTTTGGTTTCTATTACCTTGGAGCGTACGCAAGATCAATCATCGGATTGCCCCTTGCAGAATCGATAAATATAATAATCATACTCAATGCCGTTGGAGTAGTAGGTCGTGTCCTACCAAATCACCTCGCAGATCGAGTATTCGGACCCCTAAATACTCTCATTCCCATGGCAACCATAGACAGCCTTCTTTGCTTCTGCTGGATTGCCGTATCATCAAGAGGTGGTCTATATGCATGGTCGGTTATGTATGGAATCTTTGCAGCAGGTATTCAGGGACTATTTCCAGCCACTCTGAGTAGTCTCACCACAGACCTGAGAAAAGCTGGCGTTAGAATGGGAATGGTATTTACCGTTGTAAGTTTTGCTGTATTGACAGGACCTCCTATCGGAGGAGTATTAATTCAAAACAAAAATGGGGGATACGAGTACGCGCAAATCTTTGCCGC